GGCCGATGCGTACACGTCAATGACGCTTCTAAGAAATTCCAGCTATCTACTACCCATAATTTCCCAGAAGGCAGAAGCCTTAATTACTTGGTTGTACTAACTACTAAATTACCAACATACCCTTTAATTGCACTTGGAATTTATTTTATTTTTTTGGCTAAGAATTGCACTTGGAAGTTAGTAATATCAAAGAAAAATATTTTGTGAGTTTCCTGGTATTTAAACAGTGATATCTCTAAATGGAGGTGGAGCCAAAATTTAAAATTTACGGAACTCATATCTCGTCTTAGTTACTCGATTTGCAAATAGATATTTATATATATTTAAAGATTTTTTTAATACAAATACAATATTTAAATAAAAGTGAGCGAGTTCGATTGAAGCCATGCCTCATAGACTTGCTCCGGCTCTGTCTCTAAATTTATTTTTGATCATCATGATAGTAAATCATAAGTCATTTTTGTCTTTTGAATAGTGATGTATAAAATAAAAAGGAAACATGGTAACCAACTATTAATATATATTATGTGAAATTTTGTCTGAATACTTTTGATAATTTAACAAATAGTAAGATTTGGGACAAAATTGAAGCTTAAAATCATGATTTCTCAAAATTTACCAGAGTTCCAAAGTGAAAATGGTCGTAATGATGTATAAAATTAGTAAAAAGAAAATCTCGTCATGTATAAAATTAGTACAATAAACTCTATAAAATCACAGGTCAACGAAGGCGTACAACTTACAAGGCCTAATTTAGTAATTATGTATGACACGTGGCACGCACCCATTTAATTGCCACGTCACGCCAGCAACCTTCAATGTTTCCAACAGTTCAGGCTTCTTTAAAGAATTGAGACTTGTTTTACTATCTCATTATTTCATCATTTCCAACTCTCTCTCTCTCTCTCTCTCTCTCTCTCTCTCTCTCTCTCTCTCTCTCTCTTTATCTTTATATCCGTCATATTCTCCGGCGACCCTTTTTACTCCGGTCAAACTCCTGCCGGAATATCTTAAATTCGTGTTTTATTGACAGCTTCCTTGCTTGTACCTTCATCTCGCTTCACCGATCTTACACTTTTCTGTAATCATCATGAATCCAGAATAGTAAGTTCCTTTTTATATCAATTTCATCTTTGGATTCAAAATTCAAATACCTTGTGCTGTTTTACTATTTATAAATTCTTCTGTTTTTTTTTTGTTATGGGTTTTTGAGATCTATTTTTATAAAAAGTTTCAAAGTTTGCTCCCTGTCTTCTGATATTTTACCGCATATGGTTTTTTTCTTTTGTTTCTCTGTGGTTGTTTGCATGTGGGGTTGATCGACTTTTCTAGATCATGAATCATGTTTACGGATCGATTTTTTGCCTTATTTGCGTTGACCCTCCCTTTTTTTTCTTGGATTATTATTAATTATTATGTGATATCATGTGTTTTAGAAATTTTTACTTGGGAATTGAATTGTCCAAACCATAATTGGAAAGATTAGAAAATAGTTAAAGATCAGATTTTTATTCCTAATTAAGCTTAAGTTTTAGTTGTGTTATGGTGATTTAGTCTTTTTTGGCTCTATCTTAATGAGATCAGCTAGTTTATGTGGTCACGTATTCAAAGGCGGATTCAGGATTTTAACTGGGTTCAACTTTTAATGTTACTAGCATTGAACCTGTTATATTTTTAAAGTTATGGGTTCATATCGATTATTTGTTTCAATTTTAGTGAATTGTACACACATATTTATGTCCCGCTCCAAAAATAATGGGTTCAGATGAGACCAACAGCAATATGCTGAGTCAGCAGCTGCAAATATTAGTTATTGTTCAAAGTTGGAAACTGAATTTGAAGTAAGGAGGCTGCCGAATATAGATCATTCAGTCATTAGAGAAAGCTTTATTGTTTGTCAAAGTTCAGGATCAATCCATGCTATATAGTAGGACTTCAGGATAGGATCTTCCCCACGGAACTGGTTGTGTTTTTTGCTTTTTTTGCTGTGGTGGTTGTTAACATTAATGATTGTTGGATTTGGAACTCTCATGAATACTTACCATGGACCACTAAAAACTTTGAGTAAACTATATCATTATCAAAAACAAAAATGAAGCTCCAATCTTCTGCGCCTCAGAAACAGTACCCTTTTTATCTATTTTTTTGTGTGTGTGTTTGGGTTGG